AATGCACTATTCCACATCTAGGCATGCATGCCTAGCCCTCCTCTCCCAAAGAGCCCTCACCGAAAAAATTCCTTCCAGAAAAAAAAAAACCCCGCTTACCAGGAACCTGCTTTTCTGTTTGTCCTCCACCAAGTACCGGCCGCTGCGACTGGCTACCTTCCTCCTGGCTCAAGAAGAGCTCCTGGCTGCATGGCTCCAGGGATACTGGGGTGTCTCCATCCGGCCCACCACCATCACTCCCGTTTTCCTCCTCCTCCTCCCTCCCCCCCACCGGCTCTGAAGTGTCCACGGTGGTGCTCGGAGTGGAGGTGGGGTTAACCCCAAGTATCGCATCCAGCTCTTTGTAGAATCGGCAGGTCGCAGGGGGAGCACCCGAGTGGCCGTTTGCGTCATGGGCTTTGCGCTAGGCACTCCGCAGCTCCTTCACTTTAATCCTGCACTGCAGGGTGTCCCGGTCATGGCCCCTTTCCATCATGTCCTTTGATACCTTCCCAAAGGTATTGTAATTCCTACGGCTGGAGCGCAGCTGGGAATGTACAGCTTACTCCCCCCAAACACTGATGAGGTCCAGCAACTCGCCATTGCTCCATGCTGGGGCTCGCTTGGCGCGTGGAGGCATGGTCACCTGGAAAGATTCGCTGATAGCGCTCCACACCACGCCGGGCTGAGCAAACAGGAAGGGGATTTTTAAAATTCCCGGAGAATGTAAAGGGTCGGTCACATGGTTGGTTACCTGAGGCCAGGGTAGTAGAGTTTGAACTGATGACCAGAGTGGCTAGAACAGGCATTGTGGGATACTGCCGAATAATTCTGGAGGCCAGTCACAGCGCATTGGGCGGCCACACTGGCGCCACAGTGCTGCAGTGGCAGCGCAATACTCGCTATTCCTCTTGGAGAGGTGGAGTACATGCAGCGCTGCAACCACGGAGATACAGCGCTGCAAATGCCTTGCCACTGTGGACGGGGAGTGAGTTGCAGCGCTGGGGGAGCCTTTACAGCGCTGTAACTCGCAAGTGTAGCCAAGGCCTTAATCTGCAAATTCCTTTCTCAAGAAGCTGACCAAATGCTTCACTGATGCTACTTAGAATCAAACACATTGAGCTACAAGTACATAGCCAATATTCATAATTTCAACTACAAAAATGATACACACAGCATAATCATAATCAGCAAATTATAACCTTTTTGTAGACACCTCACTTGATCTCCTTTGTACAAGATTTGGTGCCACTATAGGACCTTGGTTGCAACAATGATCTATACGGTTACAGTTCAAGTCAATAATGTCACACCCCTCTAGCAGACAGTGGCTCTAATCCTAGGGCAGGGGTCTGGTTGGCACAGTGGGTGGGGAATGGGACTTTCCCCTCTAGCTGCCTCCAGCTCCCATTCGGCCCCAGGGTGAGGGACTGGCTGGCTCAGGGGGGCAAGAAATGGGGCACAGGGCCTTCCCCTTCTGACCCATCTCCAATGGACTTTTCAGCTTCCCCCTCCCCCCCGCCTGAAGGTCCTGGTGGACGCAGACGCCCGGGCCTGATCAGGGAAGGTGACTTGTTCACGCTGAGATGCGTGGGGACAGCAGGTCTCTGGACCAGTTCTACTTTTGCGTTCACAACTACAAGGACTTGCCTGGGGGCCCCTCTGTACAGATCGAGCAGGGGGCAACCTTGTCTCACGGGGGCAATTACACCTGCATAGAGTGGGTCTCTGGCACTGGGCGCAGCTACCTGGCCATATCCCCCATGACCTATGTGGCTATCCTTGGTGATAGCAAGTGCCAGTATGGGGCCACAGCTCTGGGGGAGGGGGCCAAGGAGCACAAATGGGAGGGGCCCTTCTGTCACTGACATTCCAATTGGGGGTGGGGCCACAGCCATGGGGGCAGAGCAGGAGAGCACAGATTGGGGGGCCTTTCTGTCACTGACATTCCAGTTGGGGGCAAGGCCACAGCCATGGGGGTGGGACCAGGTTCACAAATGGGAGGGGGCTAGAGCATTGGGGACGGAGCCATGGAGCCCCTCCGCCCCATGCCATGCTGCGCCTAAGCCCCCAGCTGCCATCCCATGGGGGTGTCGTTAGCTAATATCTCATTCCACTTCCTCTGCAAGCCCCACCCCACCCCCCGTGGTGCATGTGGTGGCCACCTCAGGCCCTTATTGCAGCATAGGAGAACACCTGTACCTGATGTACGGGCTGGACACCAGCGCCTATGGCAGAGGATGGTGAGCCTATGGTACAAGGATAGTGAGCAACTGGGGTGGGCACAGCCAGAGCTGGCTTTTCTGCATGTCCAGGTGGCTGATGGGGAAGAGTATCAGTGTGAGGTGCACAGCACCCTAGGGAAATTCACCTCCCTGCCACTCACCATCACTGTTGTGTGTAAGTAGTGGGTACATTTGACTTCACGTTATGCATTACATAGCCAGGGAATGGCTTAGAGCCCCCCATGCACCATGGTTGAACCCCCACCCCGTGCCACCCCAGCACCATCCTTCTACAAGACCAACTTCAATTAAACAAGCTCCCAGCTCGTGCTCCAGCTGTGTCCACTTTGTTGACCAGGCTCCAGTATCCCTGTCCAGTGCACAAAGCCATCAAGCGGCCGAATGATATTGCAAGTCAACCTGTCATCAGGTCAAAAAACACCCATTCAAATAATGTAGATTTGGTTGAAATTTAATATTTTTTAATTATTGTGAAAAAATGTGTGGTTTGCTCCCCTCAAAATTAGCTCTTTGCCAGACTTTTCATTAAATTTTTCATATCAGCTTTTACCTATAATGTTTTTGAAGGGGCAACTCATGGGTGACGGGGGAACAAGCCATTGGGGGAGGCTAGCCCCTTGCCCCTACTTCTCTGCCCGAGGCCCCACCCTCCCCTTCCCTGCCAGAATCCAGAGCCCTGGTGTTTGTGTGTGTGTGTCCCTGCCCGCCCCCCGCAGCCACTGCCCACCCCCGTGCACTCCCAGTCCTGGAGCACCCCCAACCCAGCACCGGGCGGGGTGGCCCCAGCCCCCTCAGACCTGGCCCAGGCCTTGCAAGCAGCAGCCCCAGCCAGAGTGGGAAGGGACCTGGAAGCAGGTAGGAGAGTGCCTGGGGGCGGAGCATGGGTGGGGCCACGCCTGGCTGGGGAGGCACAGCCTTTCCCATCCTATGATACCCGCCGCCTATGGGGCAATTGTTGAAAATTATAATCAGTTAAAATTAACGTTAAATAATCTTTTAAACAGAAAATGGTGTGTGTGTGTGTGTGTGTGCGCGCGCGTGGGGGGGGGAGGTAAACAAAATTGTTTAGGTTTTTGGGAAACAGACAATTATGATGGCTGAACAGAACCCTATTTGATCAAAATGCAGATAAAACAATGGATGAAAATTTGGAGGAAACGTTTGCTCAAAGTCAGATTCAATCTTTGACAAAAGAGTAGATTCAAAGTTTAGCAAAAGTTTCAAATGCCAAATTCCCAAAACTTTTTAGGGAAAAAAAGGGGAAACGGCTCCATTTTGTACCCAGCGAAACAGAAACACACATTTTTGTGATCATTCACATTTTTTCTTCCATTGGCCTGTGCAGCTGCCGGCACAAGGGGGCTCTAGTTTCACTTGGGGCAGGGTGTGTTTCATGCTCTGAGTCTGTGATCTCAGCAGGGACAGGGACTGTCTCTGTCTCTGGGTCTGGGCAGTGCTCAGCACAATGGGGCCCTGATCTCAGCGGAGGCTTCTAGGTGCCATTGTAATAAGAGGAGATTGGAGGTTTTATGAACCTGGAAGAAACTCCAATGTCCAATAAACACTTGGGAGGAAAATTCTCCTGGTTAAAAACCCAGCTTCCTTCCTGCCCCCTCCTCTGAGACTGGCCC